ACAGTTGTCGTTTCTTAATTCTCACTTAAATTTCCATCGAAAGAACGGTTTAAGGATGAATACCAGTGACGATATTTCGACTTTTGTGCTATTGCACTTAGTGGCCGGCATTACCCCTCGCTTTTTTGCACCTCCATTTTCCACCACATTTTCGCGTAGGCTCTGAATCTGTCATCAGTGATCTGAGATACTAAAACTGGGTGCTATCTGAAAGCCTATTCCTTTGGCTATAGCCACAGTCAAAATCACCATAAAATAGCTTCAAATAGCTAAGCTATTGAGCAAAATGCTTATGGTGTCGCCATTGCCCCACTCTCCCCTAATCCAAGCCTGGCGTTAGAATGCCGCGAATTTGAGACTTGGGGCGGTGGTCCCAGTCAAACACTGCACGGAGCCGAACGGCGCAACATACCTACATTGCCTGCAAAGCCGAGCCTATGGAGGTGACCTTTGGACATTGCCAGCCGACCAACAGGGCAGCGAATTGCCCCTGTAACTGCCCAAATTAAACGGTAACGAGCGTCCAGCGCCGACAAGGTTGAGCCAAGCGAGCAGTTTGAATCGAAATTTATTTGTGTGGAGTGGGTTGACTTAGATCTAGTCGGCTGAAAAGTAGTCTAGGTTCCGTAATGCGAGTTGAGGTGGAGTCACCCCTCGGACTTGGTCAAGTCGGGCAGATTGGGATAGGTCTGGTTGAGTAAATGAGAAGGCATGACTTATCAGCAAAGTTCAGGTCACCGGTCGGCCTGACCAGTGATCAGGTCAGCTCAAGCAAGCTGTTAGGCCGACTCAGGTAGGCTGCAGGACACAGCATACAGGCAAGGTCAGGTTATAAGCCGCACCAGATCCACATAGGCCATGTCAGGCAGGTAGATCGGCACAGTCAGGTCAGGTCAGGTAGACGCCGGTGGTCAGGTCGGGTAGCCGCTTATCAAGCCAGGTAAGGTAGGGTAGGTGTCGGTCAGGTAACGATAGGTAGGCGTCGGTCAGGTCAGGTCAGGCAAGCGCCGGTCAGGTCAGGTCGGGTCAGGCAGGAAGATCGGCACAGACCAGCTCAGGTCAGGTAGGCGCCAGTTAAGTCAGGTCAGGTCAGGTAGGTGCCGGAAAAATAATATAGGTGCTGATGGTCAGGTCAGGTAGGTGTCGGGCAGGCCATTTAATTATCGGTGTAAGGTCATGTAGGCGCCGTTCAGGTCAGAAATAGACACCAAAGAGGTCACCTGTGACCGCTCCGCGCCCGGCTCGTGCCTCTCCCGGGCAGCGACCTCCGTAGACGGCCGGCGAGACTGGGTGACTCGCAATACCGACCGGTCGCTGACGGCGACTACCCACCTGATTTTCGGTACTGCTGCGGAATGGATCCGGCCGTCACCGCCGCTCGCAGTCCTCGCAAAAATACAGACGGAGAGAGCACAGGCCTCAGCACCGCGCAGGTCACGTCAGAGAGGCTAGACGATCAACGAGAGTAGGTGCCGAACGACAGACAAAATCCACCGGTAATCTCACTAGACAAAATCCGCGACACCATCACAACAGTCACCTTTTTGTCAAATCGCGCAGTTCATCTAGAAATCCTGTTCCACTGTCAGACCTCTTCGCATCTCCCGAGTTCCAACCATCGCACCACCACCACTCGACACTCGACACTCAGTCACTCCTCACTCGTCCTCACTCGGGCGCGGCGACACTCGATCCACACACCTGCGATCGACCGGCTCGACTAACAGGATTGTCGGACGGGTGGACAGACCGCGCGGGGCGGACTGGCCGGCGACGGCTGCACCCCACCGCGGCCGGAGCGGCAGGCACTCCACCGACCGGGTCGGCCGTGACTGAGCTGCACGGAGAGCTCAAGCTGGCGGACGGCAGACGGCGGCAGCGGGCAGCCGTGAACGGTGGGGGAGGGGAGGCGATGGTGGGAGGGAGACGGGAAGGAGGGGAGTGACAGCCGAGACCAAGTCAGATCAAGCCACCCATCCTCGTCATCCTCAGGACAAGCCCATCCGCGTCCCCCTCGCTCTTTCCTTTCCGGGCAGTGGCTGCGATCCCCAGTCCCCCTGCCAGAAAACCGGTGCTGAGGACGGGTTCGGGGCAGGACCACTTCCTCTCCAGGGTTACCATTTGAGCGGCAGGGCGGGATATCCATTTGGGACATTCCCGTCCCACCGAAACGGTCTATGCCGTTGCGTTGCATCGTTGGTGGTCGGCTCAGTGCAATATGTCTACACTCCACACCCTATCATATTATCACATAGCTGTGCAATGTGCGTTGGGCAATGGGCTTTCAGGCCGGTAGAGCCTACTCCTCCTCTCCGAAAAAGCAAGGCACTGAACTGTTAAGAACCTACATCATGCATTAAATTCAGCACGATTTAAAGCTACCCATTGCTGTAGCGGAACTACCGGAAGCCAATGAAAGCCTGGATAGCTTTCATTCGCGTGAATGGGGGAGATGAAAGTTTCAGAAAAGATGAGGAGACTGCCGCGAGTCATTGACCAATGACCAGCTTACGCCCTGCATATTTTTAATGTATTCGGTCCATTGATGCAGTCCGATTATAATTTTTCCCCAATTTTCAGCACCTTCGAGAGACATGTTTGATTCTAAAAGCCATCATGTTTCTCGGCGAATAGTCTGTAACATTTTTGTAAAAATAAAATGGTGTAGCCGTAGGTACCTACCTATTATTCAGGGCCTATTTTAACAAGTTAACTGGGTCGGCAATTGCCGACGCCACTACCCAGGTACGGAGAATGCCGACCCAGTGACACCCGTTTGCCGACCCTGGACCCAGCTGCCGCCCTCTCCCCCCCCCCCCTCTAAGATGCAACACACACATGCAGGCTAGGCGCTGTCCTTCATAGCTAGGCTGCTGCCCTTCAAAATTAATAATGCCGTCCATTAACCTTCCAGGAGGTGGGGGGGGGGGCATTTTTTGCCCCCCCCCCTTTAGTTTTTTCGATATATCTCGAGAACCGCTGCGCCGATCGTCACCAAACTTTCAGTACCCTCCCGGGAGTAGCTAGCGCACATGGTGACCAAAATTTTTTCCAAAGGCTATGATAGGTTGGCCGCTAATGACGTCAGAGTGACGTCATTTTTGCCATTTTCGACCCAAAAAAAGGTTTCGCGGGAAGAGCTGTCAGGCCTACAGCTTTAGAGATACAGAAAAATGTTCAGACATAGAAGGTGTGGAATCAAGAGGGCTACAAAACTGCTATTTCGGTTTTTCGAATTTTTTGGATTTTGACCCCAAAAAATCTAAAAATAGATTTTTTGAATATAATAGCCAAAAAATCCAAAAAGTTTTTTTTTTTAAATTTCGAAAAACCTGAATATATGTGATAGTCCCTACCGTCTTCTATCTACATACCAAATTTGAGATCAATACCTGTTTTTTTTTGGCCAAGTTATAGCGAAAAAACTGTTCAAAATTGATGACGTCAAATTTTCAAACTCAATTTTTAGCAATTCTAGACCTCGTAGCGCAAAACAAAGACCACCATTAGACTCCCCGTGACGAGCTGCATCGAATCGATACCCATTTTATGCAAAAATATCAACTTTGAAATTTGACCTTTTTTGACCTGACCTTGACCTGACCTCCACCAGAAAGTGACCTAAACCGTACCTGATGGTCTTATAACCAATACCATTGAGTTGGAAATGAAAAACTGGCCATAAAACATGCATCGCACAACCTTAGTAAAGTTGGGTTCATGTGGTGACCCTTGGTGACCTTTGGTGACCTGACCTGTGACCTGACCTGGTATGACCAGTGACCTCTAATAGCAACATATGTACTAGACAACTGACGCCTTATCGCTGATTTTCGACAAAATGCGTTTTACTCGGTGTTATAGCGCTTTCCCTAGAAGCCCCGTGAACGGTGAAACATTTTATCTTTGACCTGACCTGTGACGTCATCGGTGACCCCGAGGTCATTGAAATTTGGTTTCTTCAACAAATTTGACAGGGCTATCGAACGCCGTTTGAATTTTCCGGATCCGTCCAGTAGTTTCAGAGATACGAGGGGGGGGGGCAAAAAAATGCCCCCCCCCACCGCGCGGAAGGTGGCTGGGAGGCCCACTGCCTGCCGGGTTAAAGTGAAACAGCCTTCCATAAAAAGTGATGATACCGCAACACATTGTGATAGTGCCGCCCCTAAATCTGTTAGTAGCCCCACACAAGGTAATGGTGCCGCCCCTCCAAGCATCCGTGGAGCCTCTAAATGTGATGGAGCCGCACCTCAAGAAGATGGTGCCGCCCCTTTCAGTATCGGTGGCGCTCCTGAATGTGATGGTGCCGCCCTCTCAAGTGCCAGTGGTGCCCTTGAATGTAATGATGTCGCCCGCCAACGAGTCGGTGGCGCCCCTCAAAATGATGTTGCCGCCCCTTCAAGTGATGGTGCCGCCCCTTGCAGTGGCGGTGACGCCTCTCAAAGAAACAGTGGCGCCCTTCGAAGTGTCGGAGGCACCCCTTAGTTTAATGTTGCCGCCCTTAATTTTATGTAGCGCCCCTCCATATGGTCTTGCCGCCCCTCTTGTTACTTACATTTCCATTTAGGCTCCAAGCATGGATGAAGGTTCTTTCATTTATGCTCGAAGTCTTGGCTCGATGTGTCAGTTATACAACTGCAGTGAAATAACATGTTTCAACAGCAAAGCTTGAATGCTACAAAAATGAAGAGGCTGAGACGTATTTGGAACGTAATGCTAGTCTACATGAAAAACTGTTACAGAAAAATGACGTAATCATTTCTGTAAACTGCTTGCATAATTTATTGCGATTGATTGCTTATATTTGTCAAAGCGGGACTGGCAACAATATCTATGATCGTAAATAAAAATTATTACTCGAAAAATGCAAACATTTATTTACAATAAAATTAATAAATGATCAAAAAATTTTCTTATTTATGACGTCATCAACTTGATAAATTTTCTAGGATAGAGTTCGAAAATATAAACAAACCGTTCTGAACGACACACACATGAGACCCCTGACAATAGACAAAAAATTAATAAATTATTTGATACTTCTGCTCGATATCGCACACTCTGTCATCATGTGTAGTGCGGCTGAGCTTAGCAAATTGCACACATCCAAAATTTCAAGTGATGAGGGTAAAGTGTTTAACTACTTGGTTCATGAGAACGATGCTGGTCTTTTAACCATTTATTTACACTCGACGGAAGATAATGCAATTTCTTGCAAGGCGGAGGTAAGTCTGAGTTAAATATCACAATTAGTTGAAGTTATGCTGTTTGGAATTAATCTTAAAACACCAATGATCCCAAGGCTGTTGATGATGGGTAGGTAGTCAGCCGTCTTTCAGTGTACGCATAAGTGTGATGCCTGCTTAATGACTACCCTTATTTTTTGCACAAATTGATGCATTAGCTATTGCTTTTTTATTTTTCATGCCTCTAAAATCATTTTTACTTTGCTGCAAATTACCTGTTCATTGTTTGCCAAAATAATTAAAACAGGTTAATATGAGCATCATGTTACGTAGATCAAGATTGCTTGATAATGGGGATTGTGTTCAGCTTAGGTTGAAGTATGTCTTATTTTGCAAACCCACACAACATCCATGGCATCAGGAAGGTCATTGTATCCCATCATGGCCCTTATGCTAAGGGCCACCTGCTGAACCATACTCTTAAAGAAGTTACAGGGCAGTGCTCTAGTCTTTTTTATCTTGTTAATGGTTGATAGACTAGGGTTACCCGCGTGCTCCGCAACGCGAAGAAGGGTTATTTTTGACCCGTGGGTATTGGGTTGGTCTTTGTCGATTTGGTTGGTATCCATTTCGTTCGATTGCTTTTTGACGGCCAAGCATTTTGTAATAAAACAAAAAAGATACATCGCATCGAGGTGCCCGTGTCGTATTATCATGCGTTCTACTTAAGAATGATTAGAAAACTGACGTGAAGTCTTTTGAGGGCCATCGATGAATTCCGGTAAAAATGACAATGTAATGGTTTGGAACATTTACATTTTTAAGAATACTGTTGATCATCATGCAAAAATGAAGGCTGAGCCTTGGACAGAATTGAATGCTCTTTCCAACGGTGCCATTTTTAATTGCCAGAGATATCAGATCATTGAGCAAAACCCGTGTGATTAATAAAGTGGCGCAAAATTGACAAACACCATTTTTTTCCGTGATTTGTACCACCTTGATTTGGAGCAATCAGCTTTTCACAATTTTCTCATGAGAGGCGGTACATTTCCCTTGCCAACAGGCTTTGTTCCAACTCGCTCCGTTTAACAGTCACCTAAAAATAAAATCAATTCCAAAATCCGTCCAAAACGTCAATTTTCCACATAAAAGTGCCCTCCCCGGTGCACATGGCGCGTGTCATCCCCTGCACCGCACACCATTCGATAGCCCGTTCAATTATCCACACGATGCTGTTTTTCCCGTGCCGGTCGGACCCCTGGTCACCAAGATATAGCACCGGGACCGGACCCGTGTCGGCCAAAATTTGCCGTTTTCGCCCGATTTCGCACGCCGATTTATACATGTAAAGTCTATGACGCGAATTTGCACTTTTTGGGCACGCGCCACGCGCTCCCTATCAATCCGATCGAGCTGCGACCCCTCAAAGGCACGTCGCGCATCCTTGATCTATAAGTTGTGCAAATTTCACCGGGCTAGGTGCAACGGTCTGGCCTGTAGTCCACGCAAAGCACCACCAAGTCGGTACCTCGGTAACGGACAGACGCACCCTCCTCAAATAGTAATATAGATTCAGTAGTGCTTGTTTAATGGAATGCTGAAGGCAGGCATGTCTCCATCTGTACAAAATCTCATCAAATCTGCCTCAAATTACCAATAGATATCAGATACTTGCTTACTTTATTTAGTTCTGATTGATTTCTGTTGGTTATTGTCAGGTAATATCTCATGTTTTTTTCAGGTGACCCCAGATATGTTATCCATCTTAACTCAGCAAAGTGAAGAACCAGCAGCTTTAGCCAGAAATCTGCTTTTTGCCAGAGAGCCCAGCATTGTTTGGTGTGTCGAGACCAGCAGAGCAGATGCCAAAGTAACATGGAAGAGGAGCCTGGCTGAGGGAATGAGGCTAAAACTGGGATCAATTACTTTGGTAAGTATGTAATACCCTTATTCAAAACTTTATTTTTCTCAATTCAGTCACTGATGATAACCATAGGTTTATGTATTATGTAACAGTGTATTGCTGTTTCAGTATAACATCAATTATGTTAGCTACTCTCATGTAACATCCTGTAGGTCTATAGTGCAGGCAAAAAATTGCACCTGTATTAGTACATCATCGATGATGAGTCCTCTCTAGTTACTCAATTGTTGAAACAGTACTTGCCTCATGCTTCATCAATGTCCTATATTCCAGGTTGCACACCCCTCTGCATCCTCAGATATGCTCTCCATCTGCTCTGCAGCCCTGCAGGAGGAGACAGCCAAAACAAAGGTGGCTCAGAGTAAATGTGACGCTCTGGAGAAAGGTAATTTTTCTCAAGTGAGCCACAATGGCCAATTCACAATAGGTATCTTAGAAACTATAGGGGACTTTGTGCTTTCACTGAATCATTGGCTCATTGGTTGGTTAGATGCTCACAGCGCCCAGCTGAAAGTTACACACTGATTGCAATATTTTTGGCAAGCTGTTGTTGCTGAACTTGCAACGTTTGAAACATATGTCTTAGCACTATCAACTGACAATAGTATGAATAAATAGAAATAAAATGCTAATAATAACAGAACAATGTAACAGTTTAATAAGTGATTAAGTAAATAACAATAATGATGAATATTTGCATGTAACTGCCACCCTCATGATATTCTATATCATCATATTATTTTAGTAACATCATTGTCATGACCATTCATTCATTCATTCATTCATTCATTTATTTATTTATTCATTAATTCATTCATACATACATTCGTTCATTCATCCATTCATTCATTCATTCATTCATTCATTCATTCATTCATTCATTCATTCATCTATTCATACATCATTCATTCATTCATTCATTCATTCATTACCCCAGAGAACAGCCAGCTGCGCCGGCTGGCCGAGGAAGCGGTCAAAGCCCGCGAGCTGCTGGAGGCAGACCTGATCTCCAAGTTTGCCCGGCTGCTGAACGAGAAGAAGTGCAAGATCCGCGCGCTGCAGGAGGTGCTCGATGAGCGACGAGCAGAGGATATGAACGGAGGTGGGTGATGGGCCGCCTACCACCGAATGCCACACGCGGGAGGGGGGTTCTTTAGGTGCTGTCTGTGCCTCTCCTGACTGGATGATAGAGGTGTAACGCAGAGGTCGCTAAGGTTGTGTGCAGTCCATGCGTGATATTGGCAGTATCAGATCGCAATATAACAGTTTACCTACATTATTTTTAAATGTGTTCACGGCATTCATGAGCCATAGACATTGTTTAGCACTCTTCCTTTTCTCCCTTTCCTAGCTGCTCCTAATTCGAGACTCCGGTCCCAAATGCCGCCCCTCTCCACTGCACCTGTCACTCTTCTGGTTTATGGCTCGTTCAGACTCCCGCTACCACATATACTCATCCGCCCTGTCGTTCTCCACAACTCCTCGTCCGTTCGGCAGCGGGCGGAGTCGGTGACGCCGTGCCCGTCTCCCCGGAGCCGCCACGGTCGGACGAGGACGCCGACGGGCCGGGCAGCGGCGACAGCGACGCCTACGACCAAGACACGGACGTGGACAGCGGCGGCGAGGGGGCGGAGGAGGCCGGGCCGTCATCACGAGCTGCCGCTCCGTCCTCCCGAGCTGCGCCGCCGGCCGACGACAGTCTGGAGCTCGACGGTGATGCACGTGAGTGAGTGAGTGAGTGAGTGAGTGAGTGAGTGAGTGAGTGAGTGAGTGAGTGAGTGAGTGAGTGAGTGAGTGAGTGAGTGAGTGAGTGAGTGAGTGAGTGAGTGAGTGAGTGAGTGAGTGAGTGAGTGAGTGAGTGAGTGAGTGAGTGAGTGAGTGAGTGAGTGAGTGAGTGAGTGAGTGAGTGAGAGAGAGAGAGAGGGGGGGTGAGAGGGTGAGAGGTTGAGAGAGGGGGGGGGGGTTATGGGTGGAAGATGAGTGTGAGAAATCAAGTGGCAGAATGAGTTATTGTTCTGATCTGATACCGCTATCGTTGAACTCTCCCGGTCTGCTTCATTAGATATTTAAACCGTTGATACACTGACTGAATGTGATATTCGTCATGTAGGGCGTTCCCACTAATTCATGACATGTATCTGCGTAAAACTTTGCCATGGGTCTCAATATCAAAGACGATCTCGACGTTACCTTGCCGACGGCCGTTCGAACTGTTGCTTTCGATAGCATCCTCTTTTTGAATTATGATGTTCATGCAACGATGTTGCTATGCCGTGCTGGTATGGTCCGCAAAATGCACGATTTGACATGCAAGCCGACCCGAGTTCATGTAGCCATTAAAGTAACTAGGCTGCTCAGACTTGTGTATAGCGTGCATGTTTTGCATAATCTGCCACTTTTTGGACCAGGAACTCGGCGATTTCAAGCTGTTCCTTATGGGTAGCTTTATTGCAAGGGATGCTAGCAGGCAGGCGGACCTTATGTCGATTGTGGTTTCGTTTCTTCCGTACACGTCGTAGCGTTTCCGTGTCTAACTTGTTCCTGTATGAATATTCCTAGATAAATCCCGGCTCGGATAGCCCGTTTCATAAACCACGCTCATTTGGAAGCCCTGCTTGCTGAAATTGAAATTGAATACAACACTGTTTTTGTGATTTGTGACCCGGTTAACACGTTAATTGAATCGCCAATATGCGTTTTTGTGATAAGCATATATGACACTCTCCAAACATCTATTAATTTTTTAGCATTTTTTTATCATCCCGTGTAGAGCTGTTATTATTCTACAAGTCAGCTCTCGCGCTATGACTGCATATGCCTGTGATACTATCAGAATACATCCCTCCCCCTGTCGGCAGTGGATGACCCGCTACCGGTGCGCCCCAAGCGGCCGGCGGCTGAACCAGCCCGACCGCAGCCGCCGCCGGACAAACGGCGGCTGGCCGAGTGTGACGACCTGCTCGACCTGGTGTGACCTCATCTGACCTGCTCGACCTGGTGTGACCTCATCTGACCTGCTCGAGCTGGTGTGACCTCATCTCAGGCCGGGGGTCAGGTCACCGGGGCGGGCGTTATGGGAGGGGCCAGGATATGGAATGACCTACACCCCTACCTTGGATATTCAAGTCACCGGGGCGGGCATTCAGGAAGGGGTCGTCAGCTGGCGATGAGGAAGGTAGATACATAGTGGTTACATTTGCATGCGGTTATGATGCTTTATTGAAATGTTTGTTTAACGATGTTATTTCTGTGCCCCGTTGACACAAAGTGGGCGAGCTGAACTCGAACTTTGTCAGGATAAATTCAAAGTCAGAGAGCAGACACACGTTGCTTGCCGTATACTGTGGTCTGTGAGATAGGCTAGCATGACTCAATTGCATTGTGATTGTAAATCAACGCTAAGATAACTCTATGCTTGTGCACAGATAACAGTAGTACCACTGTTATCTGTGGCTTGCGCATTCAAATGCTTCTTCTACCAGGATGCTCCACTTACGAATGGAGTAGGCATATTCCAGTCTCTGTTTGAGATCGTAGAGAGCAATGCGGACGCCGTTGTGTTGTGACTTAGGTCGTAATAGGAACGTCTGTGACGTAACACCAATGTCCGATTTGCGAGAGAAACATTTGAGAATCCTAGGAGTGCATTTTGTCAGTGCCTCTGTGAGTCTTGTGTGCTGCCTTTCTAGTCGAATGCGATGTGGGAAGCGTGCATGTCCGACGCCCCCACCACAATCTACATAGCTTTGTTCAAGTGTTTGTTGCATGCTATAGTGTGCTTTAGGTATGACGGATCTGTTGACCTGTGCGAGTCTGCTGGTAGTCGCCCAGCCAAACTAGCACAGTGTGATGTGATTTTGTGCGATTTCTGTAAACATTTCATGCACAATCCTGTGATTGTGTTCACCTTGTAAGAGTTAATTTCAACATAGTCATGTGTTGTTGATAACTGTAATACACCATCGTTTTGCCGAGACGCATGTGATGGCCCGAACTACAATGTCAAGCGCAATTCAGACGCCAGAGAAACCCAAACTCGGCTCCAAGTATCGCAGTAGCACTACACCAGCGAAGTTCCTGGGTAGGACACCACCCACCGACCATCCTCCGCCCAGTCTCGGGTCACTGCTCACACACCAATCGCTCCTTCAGCCGTGTATTGAACGATTGTCCCCTCACCAGCCGGTCCAACTCGCCGGCTCGAACCCCGGCACCGCAGCTACGCGCCGCTGAGCTCACAGAAAACGGAATAGGAGGGAACGGGTAACGGAATGGTGACAGAAAGCTTCAGAGTGTGGGCTTGGACATACTGATGCCATTGATAAGGATTTTCGCTAGTATTCCGGTGAAATATATGATATTTTTTGAAGTAAACTAAGCGAGCAGATCGGATGTTAATTGTCGGGAAAAATAATGGCGATAGAACAAAACGGTGCACAGAATCAAGATTCACAGAATGTTACAATCAAAATGCAAAGTGGGCTGGCAGCAAACGCACGGCAACGAAAAGCAGCATCACACAGTGGACAAAAATAGACGGATTCTTATGGCGACGCTCGCTAGGGCGAGTCATAAAGCACGAAACCCGCACAATAATTTGCAAACAATGATAGATATTCATTTACATTAAAACAACACAAAACGGGACCACTCTCCCGGCTCTTCGTCCCAGCTCGGACGAAATCTCGAGACGTAGTATGGTAGGTACCGCCGAGCTTGGCATGGCAGCAGACGACAAAATAGACAACTCTTGGTTAGTGGAAACGGAACAGTTCGTCTGCTTTGGGTGATTACACGGATCCGCACTACCTCGAGGATGCGCACTGTTCGTAGACAAATTACCGGCGACTAACTAGTAATTGGTTAGATATATAGACTGCGTTAAATAGAACCCAAGACTTTGGACGAGTGTGGCGTAAAGCAGAATCAGGCGGGAGGAAAATGTAAAGCGACAGGGTCAGAGCCGAAGTGTCTGGGGTCAGCCGGCTTCAGCCAAGGTCTCAATGGTCAACGAAGGTCTCCTTTGATCAGCTAAGGTCTACCAGTCAACCAAAGCCGTCTGTCAGCCGAGGTCAGCAAAGGTCGCGCAGGGTCAGCCGAGGTTATCCAGGGTCATCCAAGGTCATCCGAAGTCCGTAGTGACCGGAGCCGGCCGGCCGGCGTGTTCGTCTACTTCATCAGGGAGGTGACGACGGCGCGGGCGTTCAGGTTGCGCAGGTCGGTGTAGGTCTGACCGCAGCCGACGAACACGATCGGCTGACCGGTGACGTAGGTCATCGAGATGGCCGCACCCACCTGCCGCGATAGGTTACATGTCAGACAGTGGGTCAGGAGGAAGACTGGGAGATAATGGCCATTGATAAACACATGGTTCATGAAGGAATAAACGCAGATCCACAAAACACTTCCTTATAAACTACTTAATACGGGTAATGAGCTCCAGCTAGCAAAACATAACAAGCTACAAGTTCTAGAGGTCGAGACTCGAGATAAGGTCGTAAAGCTCGACCCCTCACGCCACCATTTAAACTGACCCACACGCCGACAGCGATTTCGTGGCCTCACGGACCCGCCGGTGCCGACGCTACCCACCTTGTCGTCGATGGTGTCGAACTTGGTCAGCACGATGCCGTCGATGGTGTGCGGCCGGTCGGAGGCAGAGTGGTCGGCCAGCGACTGGTTGAACTTGACCAGCTGGTCGACGGCCTCGTTACCGACCAGCGCCTCGCCCACGAACAGCACCAGGTCCGGCTCGTTCACCTTGATCAGCTGGAGGTGCCGAGAGGGGAAAGAAGTGAGGAGGGTAGGGTTAGTTGGCCGTAACTGCAGGGGTGAGAACGACACCTCAATTCGGGTACCGATATCAAAGACGAAGAAAGAAGACAAGGAGAAGTCAAACAATGAAATACGTTTTCACATAAGTCAAAGATACGATAAATCGATAAAGCAGCGTTCGAAAGGCACATCTTTTACACAAAGGAGACACTAACTAACCGGTTACGAAAGCATCACTGGCTACAACACGAAAATGGTTTCGGAAAAGATACAATTGTCTACCACAACCCAACCTCCAAGGCCCCTTGGCCAGCCCACCTTTCCCAGGGCGCGCATGAGCGGCTCGTTGTCCTGCATCCGACCGGCCGTGTCAATCAGCACTACATCCACCCGGCTCTCCCGGGCGAACCCGATCGCGTCGTTGGCGATACCGGCCGGGTCCTTGCCTGGGGAGGGGGAGAGGAGGAGGTGGTCAAAGCACTGATCGGAAGTGGACGAAAACGAGCAGAGGACGTGGTCTGTATCTGGGAAATACATACATGCTTCTTTGACGTCAGAAAATAATTCGGAGGTGTGCGGCGCCACTGTTACTTCAAACGGCAGAAAACGTCGGCACCAGTGACTATTGACTGGCCTGCCAGACTAATTGGTCTTCGTAAGGACTATCACACGCCCGACTCATAACTGACCTAACCCCTTTCCCTACACGGTACCGACCAAAACACACCCCTTCTTCCATTCATCGCTCACCACATACCTCTCCTTCCATCAATGACTTTTGTCCTTACCCTCCTCACTATCACTTACCATTACCTCCTCCCCACCCCTCCCTGGTCCTTCCCCATCCAGTCAATAACCACACTCCTTCCCCTCCAATAACTGACCGTATCCCTTCTCGTACAGCTGGACCATCTGCCTGCCGCCGTGTTTCTCTGGCGGGTGCAGCGCGTTCAGGTGGCGGGTGTGGGTCCGCAGCTGCTCCACGGCTCCGGCGCGGAACGTGTCGCACGCGGCGATCAGCACGCTGAACCCGTTCTCGATCAGCCAGAAACAAATCTGAGGGGGAGGGGGGAGATAGAGTGATTGGTGGAGAAGGAGTGAAGGAAGATAACTTCGGTGAATTGATGCAGAGATGCTTTACTGTCAATGAGAAATGAGATCAACATTTGGAATCAGCTGCATTCTTGTTTAGAAGGAGGGACAAAAATGCAATCACCTTTTTAAAAGAGGAGCATGAAAATGAGGTTAAAAAAACACGCCTGTTGCCTTCCTGACATTACCGGTCATGCAAATGTCATCACAAAATAAACATCTAGCATGTCAAACAAAGCCTCCCTCCTCGATGCACAACCCCAGTTATGCCAGCTCGCGATCTTTAACCATCTCACTCCGCACCTTGGCGAGGTTGGTGCTCTTGCCGACGCCGTTGACGCCGCAGAAGGCGACGACGTACGGCCTGCCCGACTGTTTAGCCGTCATCACATCACGCAGAATGTCGATACGCCGCTTCGGCGAGAGGATCTGCACCAGCGAGTCGACCAGGGTCTGGCGCACGGTCTGCGCCACGCCCTCGAACGTGCCGAGAACCTGCGGGACGGGGAAGGGGGAGTGAGCGTGGTAAGCATCGCAACTTGTCCGGCATAGGTACTAGGCGTGGCGAGTCATGCAACTGGGTTTGATAACAGACGAGCTAAACAGGATGAAATCAAATGGTTGTTCAGATACAATACCGGTTTTCGGATGATCAATAAAAAAATACACGTGAGGACGGAAGAAGACGTCGCAGCATGAAACAGAATACAAATGAACGGAGACGAAAAAAAAAACGCTCATGCCGTCTGAAAGCTTCCAAAGCCTCGTGTCTCGCGTTCTGTGCCCACCTTTCCCTCGAGTTTGAGAGCGATCGAGTCGCACAGTTTGGCCGCGATGTCGGCCGCCACGTTCTTCCCGACCAGGTGGTCCTTCAGCTGGTTCAGCACCGGCGTCACGTTCTCCTTGGTGATGGTCTTGCTGCCCACCAGACTCCTGGCGCCGGAGAGGGGGAGGTTGAGTTAGCTTATTTGGCTAGGCGTAGGTATCAGTATCCGAAGAGCAAGATCGAGTTACGGAAGCCACAGCCATAATGGAGTCTTCTGCTCCATTATGACTGTTGAGAACGTCAGTGTTCCGCTTCCCCTTCTGTTCATCAATCACTGTGCAGATGAAGTAACAACGATAAATATGTGGATGATGATGTTTGCAGTTTAATACGTGTACAACTAATGAGACTTCATTACCTACTTATCGACGACTGAATGTCCGAGTCTAATTTGAAACGAGGGTACTCCAGTCGTATTTGAGCCTTGAGGGTTCGGGACGCGGGGACTACAGGATTCATGGACGCCCATGCCACTGCATACCGTGGTCCGTGTAGTTAATCATTCCCGCTCCTAACTCACTTGAACATTCCGAACACACCGCCCGACTTCTGTTTGGTCGGTGCCGCGGACTGCTGCTCCTCCGGCTCACTTTCTTCATCAACTTCCATGTCCTGGATATTTCCAGCCATGGCTCCTACCATCTGTGACATATAGATCAGGCCGGAGCATGGGGTTATGGATATTTCCAGCCATGGCTCCTACAATCTGTGACAGATACACCGGGTGATTGTCAACGGGTCTCAAAAATAAATAAAATAAAAGACAGCAATGAGAATAGAAGCACGATCAGTGATACAAGACTGTGTCTGGAATACGTCGCTCCACTTACACTAGTATCAGGTACGAATTCGGGCCGCTTGGACGCCTTGCCATCGCCGGCCTCGGAGAAATCGAGGCTGGCGGCATCCTTCTGCCCTCCCGAGAGCGCCCAGATGCGCGCCTCTTTGCCCTTCTTGCCGCCACCGCCGGCCGCCGGCGACTTGGGCCTGGTGCGGAGAGTGAGGGAGCGTTGTAACGTTCTGAGCCGGGATACAGTAAGGTGCTAGGTATAAATAAACATGGGTAAATTTAGCTATTTGGCATGAAGGGGCTCCACGCGAGGAGAGCAGCGTTGGCTTTAAAATATTGCAGCAATTATAGACGTACAACGTAATTTTCCGATAGCCGAATTGAAAAACGACCGATCAGAGAATTGAAACGACACACCGGGGGATGTGTTTACGATTTTACGATTTACGGAGGGATTACGATACACAAAGCTCAGATTTTATCCACTCTAATTAGTCATTTCTCGACAAGATGTCAGCCGACCGCGACAGCACTGGTCGGGCCGGGTCGAACTCACGACTTGGGTTCCTTCTTCTTGCCGCCTCCACCGGACATCTTCATCATCATCTTGCGCCGGTTGGCTTTGATCTGGTCCTCCTGCGACATCCCCGGCTCCGGAGCAGGCTCCGGCTCCGGCTCCGGCTCCGGCTCCGGGGCGGGAGCCGGCTTCGCCACCGGCTCTGCCAGATCCAGCCGAAAATAAATTAGGTCAGATATATGGAAATACTCATAATGCGACCCCACAGTGACCGCTATTGACACCATTGCAACTCAGTAACGGACCACACATTTACCGCGAAGTAGCATCAATTATAGTTACTAATTCTGTTATCGATCACCTTTCAAGATCTTATTGGTAGACAATAGGATATGAATATGCATTAATCGATGATAACGACGTCACGACATGTGCCGTTTCACGCGTGCTCCATTGAAAAAGCGCATCGGCCAACCACGAAGCACCACCACCCCAACAGCCTCAGCCTCCGGACCCCTCCCTTCCCCTAGAGAACCAGAGAGCGGGCGCCACCATTACCTTCAGCTCCCTTCTTCTTCTTCTTATCCTTCCCTGAAACGGTGACCAGTGGCGTGTTAGCGGGGAGCTCAGCCGTCAGTTAAAACACGGTTCTGCCTCCACCAAGGCACCAACACCTCGCCCAACACCAGAGATCCACTCAGCCCCAATCGAGAGCAGCTCCGTCAAAATCCAGCACCGGTATGTCAGTGGGTCTAAGGCAAGAATCGGCCACAATCGTGCATTCCCCACCACCAATGTTGGTCCACACTTCAACCGCAGTTTAAGCATGCCTATCGGTAACATTCATTCAGTTTCACTCTTGACATGTTTTGCGGTGATTTGGGCACAACTCCAATCATACATACGCACACAAACCTGAACCCAAAACGGCTCGCACCCGGCCCCGGCACTGCGTGTCATTGACTCAGCCGGAGTGTCGCACATACCCGGCTTCTTATTTTCCTTGTTATCGCCTCCCTTTTTCTCAATCATGGAAGCGACCGTCTTCTGCGACTTTTGCGACTGCTCGAAGGAGCGCATGGTGCGTGGGGCCTCCGCCTTCTGCTGTCCCCACTGTTCGGCCACCGTTTGCAGCTGCGCGAACCGCGAGTCGAACGAGAACCTCTGCCGATGGGGAGACGGATGGCGTCAGAGGGGACGGTGTCAGTGTGGTGACAGTCGGAAATAATTACGGTGGTTTGCGATGGGGCCATGTGCTATTATCATTACGGTTTGAAATAAATATTTTCACACCGGCACCCACAGCCATGCTCATGTGCTTCATTGAACACCTTGACTCACCTTGTATAATGCATAAAAATAGCAAACGTTAGTGATGAAAACAATTTAAGACACAAGTGGAAGCAGTGAAACTGGTTTGGACCACTTTCCTCCCAGCCCGTTTTTTTTGCGACCTTGCATGACAAGGAAACTCACAATCCATCAACCACAGTTAACTTGATACACTACAGCACCAAGCCAATCACTACTACCAGTACCTACTACCTGTTTTGATGTGCAGCCAGGCCAGCAGAATGAAACACAACGATTGGGCTATACCTAGGCCCAGCCCACATTTCCTGGTGCCAAAATACAATGGTTTCGAGGCCAGTCAAGCACGACCTGCTTTGTCTACTACCGCACCTGATAATAGCTGTGCTCGGTGAGCAGGTTTTCAAATTTATCCCGGAACTCCCGCTGTACATCATCCAGTAGTTTGTCCACATAGGAAAGCTGTAATATCTTCTGGAAGCCGACAACAAACACCAGGTCGAACTCGTTGTCCAGTCGGTATTTGAGTGTCCAGCTTGCATCTGTGAATGATGAGATGCCTGTGCGCTCCTGTGAAAGAGCAGGTTATAGGCTAAGTCAGTTTGATGCATGTCTGATTAGCATTCATACATCAGCAAACTATAGACAAACCCTAAAATATGTCATTCATTCATTGCTACAAATATTCCATCTTGAGCCTTTGTCAAAGCATTAATATTTTAATATTCCATTCATTGTTGACAAGTACCTAACTTCATTAAATATGTACCTAAGCTATTTATCCCTACATCAAGAGCCTTATTCATCAGCACCTGCCATTGATGGGTCAGCAACACATTAGACATCCCAAGCAGTGAGATGTCTACCAAGCAGTGGGATGTCTAGATAGAATGCAGTTAAAAGCAAGCATTTATCAGCACAATTATTAAGTTTGCTATGTGAGGAATACAACATTTTGTTAGTATCAGAACTCGCAACTCGCAAGAGAGCCAAACAATCCAGATACTGATCCTCCTTGAACCTTGGAATCATTGATCCATGCAGCATTAGATAGATACCTGAAAAACACTTCTAAGCCAAAATGTATCAAAACAGTCACTCGTTGCCTCTATCTATGTTAGTTAGATGAAACAATACGGCTACGTTGACGTGGCCTAATTTAAGGTCACAACAACTATATCTCTATATTAATTTACCTGTAAAAGGACACTTTTCACTAATGCATTTACAGATGGAGCGAATAAATCTTTGGTGCCTTCAAAACACCAAAGCACGATGCCTCCCTTTGTGAATATAACAAAGAAATCTAACATCGTGTGGCCGGAACACCACCACGAACACGACAACAATCGCAACTGACGTCCAGCTGTTTTCCTTCTACGCCTTCTACGCAATCGCAGTGGATATGCAACTGCGTCGTCAACGTAACAGCCGCGTCAGACAAGATTTCATTTCCAAATGAAGGAAACCTCATATGCGTGAAGGATTTTCGCTATTTGGTCCCTAATCAAAATACTTTTTGTTTCGCGTCAATGCACCAGCTTACAGAACTGCAATGAAATATGTCATTTAGGTATTTGATGCATACTTTGTCTGATACTGATCTGCAAATTCCGCATGTTTCTTTTTATAGAATTTAGTACACTTTTTCCTCGTAGGTAAATCTCTTTATAATTTGGTAGTAATTTGATGGAGTTCAAATCACCGCGCTTAGACGTTTATTGCGCAGCATATCTTCGAATTATTCCATATATGGAATATTGATGTTTTCTTTGTGTGTTACAAGTTGGTAATTTCATAAATATGCAAGATATTACAACAAAAATTACCCGACGTTTCGTTTATTATAACTTTTTCAAGGGTTAAAATAAACGAAACGTCGGGTAATTTTTGTTGTAATATGAATATCTTGCATATTTATGAAATAATTGTCACATTACAACTCAAGTTGGTAATTGTAATCGTGGATCGGTTCCTCGAGTTTTTTCCTATTTTAACAAGTGTCTCCATTTTTTCATTGGACATTTCACTCCAGCGCAAACCAGCCCCTGTTCTTCAGCAGTAGGATATTATACTCGAAGGCTGAATTTGAATTGGAATATGAATACCTACCAGTCGAGTGCCTGTTGTAATGCAATGCCAGACCAGTCGGGCGCACTGTGGTAATTCCGGTCCATTTATAGAAACGTTGCTATATTTGGAAACGTTTCCAAATATAGAAACGCTGCGTTCCATAAATGGAAACGCTCAGAAGCACCGATCATTCCGGACGATTTATTTTAAAGCAAGATGCGTTATATAACTTTCTAGATGGTGGAATGCCATCTAGTGGCAACAAGGAAGCACTCAGGTGAAAATGACAAGTCAATTTCGCCAAAACTTAAAACATCTGTTTAGACCAAATTAGCCAATATTCTGCCAAAAATCAGCCCAAATCAGGTTCTGGACGTCATATTTCAATTTGAAGGGAAACCTTAATGGAAGTTTTTCTCTTATTCGCAATTTCTTCTACATTTTACACAAACCGGAAATCAAATCGTCGTCATTACCATGGCCCACCATGGATTTCTTCGGGCCTCCTTGCGATTATAAACTCAAATGTTGGCTTGTCACTGGTGGTAACCGTTTTGTGCGAAATTTCGCCAGAGCTTGCGAAGATCGTCAAACAGGTGAGCGTGCACCTACCGTTTCCAAATATAGAAACGCAGCGTTTCCATATTTGGAACAAGCGTTTCTATATATGGAACATCGTTTCCAAATATAGAAACGTTTCTATATATGGAACGGAATTACCACAGTGTGCCCGACTGAGACTGCAAAGTGTGGGAAGCTCGTGGGTACCTTGCCACTTGCCAGTGTAGAGGCACGCCAAGGCCGTCGGTCATGTGACACAAATTTCCAAGTTAATGGTGCAGAAGCTATGGAACGTTTCAGTCTTGACTCGGGCACCAACTGTACTGGTACTGTAGGCATTCCATTTTGACTTGTGCAGGCGCATCATCCAAGAAAATGATGTATGGGAGACGGGAGTATAGTGGTTTGGTTAGAGAATGGCCAGCCTTTTGCTGCAGTTTTCACACCAAAGCTGCAAGTATCTACATTTTGTGGTAAAATTCTAGGATTTGTTTGGTGCTGTCTGGTTCAGATTTCCAGTCTTGGTGTGGGCTCACACAGATTTGTCACCCTAGCTGGTGTGGCTCATCAACTATTGTCCTGCTTTGCAGTCTGATGTTAATGGATATTTTTATTTATTTAAAATAAGCTATTTATTTCTTGTTCTAGGTACCTGTGCATGGGAATGAAAAACTGAATGTGCTCTTGGACATAAGCATGAAGACATTCATTGCAGTTATGTAAAGTGCAGCATGAGTTCAAGTTGAATTGAGATTGCTTGAAAAAGAAGCTTGTTCAAGTTGACTGGAGTCTGGAAATATTCTTCATTTTCATTGCCAGTCATTCAAATAAATTATTGAAGATATTTTGTGCATGTTCATTCTAGCAAGACTTCAGAATGGCAAGTGTTAGCAGTGATTGTATTGCTGGCTTTACTGATCCACTTCTGGCCAAGCAAAAACAGCATAGCAAGAGGGCATTTGAGCTCATTGCCAAAGCCCTGAGACTTGATGAAGAGAACAAACATGGTGAGTACTGAGTACTGAGTAATAAGCATATAGGTCACATAATTGTGTCTTGGGTATTTTCCATTTGTTTCACCCATTGATCCCTGTTTCTCATTCATGGACCAGGTTATATTTTCACTCCTCTCCTTACCCCAGCATTGCTTTGTCATTTATGACGGTCGCGCTGGCCATTTTCACATAATACCACAGTAAATCTGCACTGAGTGACTCCCTCCCCCTCTCCCAAACTGACAAGATATCAGTCAAACTGGGCACCGTTAACCCTCCGGCGACTGTCGGTGCCCGGCAGGTAGCCGGCCGGAGGCGGTGCGGCTGTACCGGGAGGGTATCGCCGAGCTGGAGCGCGGTATTGCCGTGGACTGCTCGGGCCGCAGCGAGGACCGGCGCCGCGCGCAGCGACTACAGGCCAAGATGCAGACCAACCTGGCCGTGGCCGCCGACAGGCTGCGCTTCTTAGGTGAGCTGGAGCGAGAGCAACACGTCGGAACTTGAGCTGATAAACGTTCCGTTGGCGCGAGTTTAAATGTTTCACTACACCTTACAAGAAGGTGGCTTGGCGCATTGTATATATAACATACCCGCTCAACTGTTGACTATTCCTGTCCTCAGTGCCATGAATGCTTAATGTGAGCTTACAATCCCTTTCGACACGTTCCAGTGCCTTCACAATACCGTCCTCCCTCAGTTCAATTTTCATCAACCGGCCATTGCGACCTGGGCATTGCGATTCTAAAGCCCCGGCTCCACTACGCGATTTTCCGTGCGATTTTGCGAGAATGCGATACCCTTGGCGATGACAGAAAATGTTCATCTAGTGCCGTGGAAACGGATGCGCTGAGCCACACTGCGGGAATCGCATTATTGCATGAAATGCCACGCAATATTGCTCACGCATTATCGCAAAAAAGTTCAGAATTCCGATGCCACGGAAAATCGTGTAGTGGAGCCTGGGCATAACGCTCGAATGACTCATTTTATTCATATTTTTCTAAAAATGATTATCATTTCCATTTCAGAAAGTTGCCTCTCAGACCCTGATGGTGAGTGGTGAACACCATTTATATCAAGCTTGCGCCTAAACTTTCTTCTAGTTTCCTTATGCTCTTACAGCTACTTTTACCGGTTCTGCCAGTGGCATGAGCAGTGGCTCGGCTATTTTACCGCCATTATTTTCTGCACAGGGGCTAATGCAGTAAGGCTTTGGCACATATTCCAGTCAACCAAATTCTTTTTGCTCCCGGCTCGGCTCTGCATCATCTTCTGCCTTGCCTTTCCCGATCTTTTGCACTTTTTTCGCAGCGCGTGGAATCCAACGAAGAACACATTTCTGACTTTGTTCAAATGTTATGTTTTTATTTATTTTAGACTTAAGTCCACTGCGTGGTCTCACTTTTCGCTGGATACCGTCTTCCCACACCGCTGTGAAATGTGTACCCTGTTTTGCACCGCTATCTGTCGTAGTTGCCCTGTTTGGTCACACTCTACGGGCGGGTGGTGTCCCCTGACGGGATAGCCATCCCGGGGCGCCACTGTTCCTGACGGGATATCCGTCCCGGGACGCCACTGCTCCCGGCACTGGGCAACCACAGGGTGCATGCTGAGGCACGTGACCACACCGCCTGCAGAGCGCATGGCCTCTCTGGAGGAGCGGGCGGCCGACTCCGTGGTGCCGCCGGCGGCCCGGCAGCGGCCCGGTCCGGCGGCGCGTCCCCAGGGCCAGGCCGCCGGCCGGCCCGCCGCGAGGTCCACCGGTCAGACCGGTGACCCTGTGACCGGTCACGGCAGCGGTCAGCCGCCGGCGATCACCGTGATCAGGGAGGGCCGGCGGAAACCCAGCACCGGCACCGAAGGTGGGTGTCGGGGAGGCTCCACCAGAGACCGGCCGAGGTGTGGGCGGTAGAGGTGGGGGTGGCACGAATGGAAAATGGTGATGCGAATGGTATTGGTCGAGCCTTCACCTCTCGAGAGAGGTGAAGGCTCGACGTTCAGATGAACGTATGCTCTGCTGGGGACTGGGGAATGATTGTGATGTGATGTCGCTAAGCATTAGTCGTTTTGTTTACTTTTAATGGCAGCCTTCATTTAGCAACTTTTGCGTGCGTTTTATGCCTGTCCGTTTTGCGCGTAAATCAGGCTGTCATGTTGTTTAAATAATGTTGGGCTGACTGTGTGATTCGTTGTTAGTTTAAAATATGCTGACTGGTACATTTCATCACCATATTTGAAATCAGATTTTGCTACTGATTTGGGTAACTTCAGAAGTTTTTTTTCTCATCTATGCTCCATCGGCTGCAAGATTTTCTTCCGATTTAGGCCGGATTCGATGTCTTCCGGACGACGAACATACTACGTCGTCCGGCGAATGGCGTTCGGTAGCCGCAGCCAAGCCCCCGCCGACATCGAACGGTATTGGCCGGACGACGTAGAATCTTCGTCATCCGGGAGACATCGAAGCCCATGACCGATCAGCTCGGTATAACCCACCCCGGACGTCCTGCAGCGGCCGAGCGGAAGATCTCCCCTGTGTACGGGTACTCGGGGCCGGGCCGGCGTCCCGCCCCGTCCACCGGTACCAGTCGGGTCACCCCGTCCTCAGTGCCGGCCCGCCGGAGACCAGCCGCCACGCGCAGCACGCCCAACCGGGTACGTCCCCAGCTATCGGAGCAGGCCAGGCCGATCGGGCTCTGTAGACACGGCTATGTGAATGTGTGTGCAGTGTACGCATGATTAGGGTGAATGCGTGTGAGTGTATTTGTGAGCATGGCGATGATACGTGAGGTAGGTAAGTTGGGCATCAAATCATGGGTTTCCGGTGATACAAAGGTGGTTGCGAGGCACTCGGCATGATTTCACCGACCGGTGATAGGTACGAAGCACGCGTTTTAATTTTTAACAAGCATCATGATCCGTTACAACAGCCCGTTGATGCGGGGCCCGGGACGACCAACATATTCATATTAGTGCATTGCGTATGGCGCTTACCAAGGCGCTTACATCCCGGTAAAGGATTATGAAGGTGCGAGGGATTTGGTAGCATCAGATGAGGGCGTAAGTTGCGCACATACGACAAATTTTGTGAACAACAGTTGTGTTCAGATTATCTTCGATGATTCTCATCCATATGACGATTTTCTGAAGGTTAATTGAATAATAATTTTTAGTGAAGAAAGTGGAATAGAATAATGATGGAGGTGCAGTTGTCACCCAACAATTATCAAGTGTAGCCAAGGCGCTGCGGCTGAAAGTAGTTTCGTGCCGTCTGTAAAGCGATTACGTAACCCCACGCGAACAGGAAAACGGACTCAGCTGAACAGTGAAATTTGGCGCCACATGCTCGTTCACGTTGTTGCCGCTGCTGTACCTTTCGCCAAACAGTTTGGTTTTCGCTCGTTACAGTTGCTTGTTTGTGCCTTGTGGTCTGAGCTTGTGGGTTATTGACAGATTTTTTTATGTGTTATTTTGTGACTTATTGGGGCAGCACTAATGAATACCTTATTTTGCATCAGCAGCATATTGGAACAGCGAAAACCCTTGTCCTCATTTATTAATTTCTCTTTTTGAGCTCATTCTGGACTTAATACCTACTGTCTAGTTGTCTCTACTGTCTTTCTGAACTTTCAAATAAGCAAATTTTTGCCGAAATCCAAATATTTTTCTTTTGTTGCTGTGGACAAACGTCCTCTTCCTATGTTTGGTTGTTTTTTTGGTCAGTGGCGTGGTGTTTTGCAGAATTATTGGTGCTCATGGTTTGCGAGTAGTTAGTGAAAATTACTTCGGTACCATTTGAAATTATTTCAGTACCAGTCAGTACCATTTTATTAAATAAGTTAATATAAGAAATGCTAATTATTTATTTTAGTCTCAGCATCCTATTTGTCATGGTTTACCTAAATGTCATGGTTTCCTGAAGGCAGGTGAATATAGGTTCCACTGAATTGGGTAGGTAGGTACCTATATATCAAGGTATTCACTAGTGCTACCCCAGTTAATTTTAATTACCATCTTCATAGAGTTCAGAAGCTACATTGGACCCAAGAAGGTTAACCAAGATGGAGCGACGACGAAGCACCAGACTGCAAGCGAAGCCGAAGAAGGATCTGTGTGAGATTGAAAATGAGTTTGAAGAGCCTCTGTCAAAAAAACAGGTGGCTGATAAGCTGGACAAAAAACCTGTTCTTAAGGCAGGCAATTTTGCATCAGTCCCTGGTCCAGAATATGTCTCTGCCTATGAGGCATCCATCAGAAAGAACATTGAGGAAAGGATGGAGATGCTGAAAATGTTGAAGATTGATGCAATGAAAGAGGAAGCAAAACCGACCGTGCCAGAGAGCAAGGCCAATACAACCAGGTTCTACAGGAAGGCTGTGAAGCCGGCGAAGCCGCTGACACCGAGCCGGAGGAGTCTGCGGATCAGCGGCCGCGACCCGCAGGGCATAGAGCTGCCGCCGCGGCCCCCCACGCCGGAGGAGCGACCGCTCAAACTGGGCACCGAGACGGTGCAGAGCGCCAACACGGGCCTGTCCGAGCCGGGGGAGATCTCCGAGAGCCTGGCCGACATCGCCGGCCGGGTAACCGAGCAGGGGCGCTCCGGGGACGGTCCCTGCGGCTCGTACGCGGCGGCTCTGACCGACCTCGCCCTGGACACGTTAGCCAAGGTGACGCCGCTGCGCATCGCCTCCATGGCCTTCTCTCCCCTGCGTCAGAAGCACGTGCTGGCGGCCGGTGACAAACGTGGCGTGCTGGGTTTATGGGACGTGTCGCGTGGCGGGCTCGGCGTACACAACCTGTCCGCACACACCGGGCTCATCGCGGGCGTGAGTTTTTCACCCGTGGACGGCGCGCGCTGCTTCACCAGCAGCTACGACGGTCTGTGCCGCGCGCTCGACCTGGAGCGCCAGCAGTTCGACCAGGTGTACGCGCCGCCCGACTCGCAGCCAGATCTGTTCCTCAACCACCACACGCACATGAACGAGAACATCCTGCTGCTGGGGCGGAGCGACGGCCGACTGGTGCAGCGCGACCTGCGCACGCCCGACTCCACATCGCTGCGGCTGAGCGACCGCGGCGGTCTGCGGTACCTGAACGTCCACCCGAGCCGCGAGCACTGCCTGGCCGTGGTGGAGCGGCCCAACACGGTCAGTCTCTGGGACCTCCGCCGCGTGAAGGGGCCGCGCAGCGCTCTGCAGCGCGTGACGCTGCCACGCACGTGCGCCAGTGCCATCATCAGCCGCCACTCGGGCGACCGACTGGTGGTGCCCTGTGCCGACGACTTCATCCGTATCTACGACGGCGTCAACCGCGGCGCTCTGGACGCCAGTCAGACGATCCGGCACAACAACCAGACGGGGCGCTGGCTGACCACCTTCAAGCCCACCTGGCTGCCCGACAGTGACGAGCTGTTCGTGGTGGGCTCGATGCTGCAGCCGCGCCGCGTGGAGGTGTACGACATCAGTGGTCACGTGCACCACCTGTTAATGGGAGCCGACTTACTGACGGTGTGCTCCACCGTCGCCTTCCACCCGAACGAGCGGGCCATCGCGGCCGCCAACTCCTCTGGAAAGGTGCACCTGTTCCGGTAAACGGCCGCACAGATGGTGGACGGTGACACGGGGTGACAGGGACGCGATCTGTGCCTAGACGAAGTGTCGAGGCGTCGGAGGCGAGTGTTATTGGTAGCGTTGGAGCTGCTGTCGCCTGCAGACGGGCCAGCCGGACCGCTGCCGCCCTCCCCTGCCGATTATTGTCGTGCTCACATGTAACGCGGGACCATCTCATGTATTCGCTGCTAGGACGTGTCCTTCTGTCTCAACTCTCAGCTGAGAGGTATGCGATGTTGATAGGTACATAAGTTCAGTGTTAGTCCAGATCAGCGTCGGTTTTCAACTGCTGTCTCGTTTTAGGTCATTGTATCAGTGCCATGTACTGGTGCCAGGAATTTTTAGGCTTAAGTGCCATTTAATTATGCGCCACATTAAGATAACTTCGTTATGGAAACGGGCGCAATAGTTTAGAGCTGTTAAAGGCGTTTGGTGGCGTAAGATTATAGTGCACACTTCACTGTTTTAGTTAGATGTTTCTGTAGTGATTATTTGAGTGCTTAGATGGACCATGATGGGAGTCGAATAAAGCAACTTTGTATTTTGCATTTGTGTAATCCTGTGCCGTCGGCTATGGCATAATGAACAGAATATTATAGTAGACAGCGCCTGATCCCAATCACGACAATACAGTAGGATGCTGGTGACCGGGAAACGGACTTGCGAACAACGATCGAAGCGGCGGAGAGAAAACGTCCGACCGCTAGCGACATAGTTTCTCGTCATTTATAGCTGAAAAGCATGCAGTTTTCTGGCATCATTTGCATTCCACAACCGTTTCAATATCCAGAGCGGAGTATTCAAGGTGGTCATATGCGTTGGGAAAATTATTAGTGATAATGACAGTATCAAATGCCTCCATTGAGCTCAAATAGGCCATGAGTTAGTAGGCACTCCGCGAAACCCGGCATTTACCCATTCAGCACAATATCTCGGGAGAGTTCGACGTGAGTTTGGTAAGTTGGCGTCAAAATCTCGCTTGTCTTCTTTTTTATTATATTATCTTATGAGTGCCGGAGATGGTGTTTCATCCTCGTGTACTGTCCGTCGTTTTGTCGCACTGCCCGTCCGTGACCTAGTCTGCCTACACCACGCTGACTCTGTCTGTGTCGCTCCCGTCAGGCGGGCGGCCTGTCATCCCCGGCCACCTCGTCCGCCGGCACCCCGTCTCGGTCCGCGCGCAAGCCGCTCTCCACCGCCGGTCTGAAGGGGGTCGACCCCAAGCTGGCGCGGCTGATCCTGGATGAGATCATCGACGCCGGACCGGTGGTGACGCTAGATGATATCGCAGGAAATGCGGTGAGTTTTGGAGAGGAGAGAGAAGAATGGGCAGGCTGGGGAATTTGCGGGAGACACCGGATGATATGCATAGCAGGAAACTCGGCGAGCCGGAGAGATAGCTGCTAAAGGCGGTCTGTGGGAATGACTGAGGGAATCTGCGGGGAACTAGGGAATGACCGATTCTTAAGTATGTGTTTCATAATTGAAGTAAGTGGGCGTGCATGTTCAAGTTAGTGGGAGTCAGTGGGTGACTATTTTGGCGATGTGGTAGTTAGTTAGGTCGTAAATGCTCAACGTCACGTCCGGTTCGGTTCGGGTGATCAAAATTGAGTTTGCCGGAAGGCGGCGGAATCTATTGACGTGATAACTTTAGAACGGTGATTCGGTGAAGGGACCTAATCGGCCGTCATATGGGTAATCTTCTGGATATGATTGTGTTATTGCCGATTATGAACTACGCAGTCCTAGCCAGAAGGTAGTGAGCTAAAAAACGCTCTTGAAGTTCTCTGTTTTTAGACATAAAGCTCTGGTTAACAGGCTGCATACAATTTTTTAACCGTCCGGGCTCGACGGAGCCCATGTATTCTTAGTGTGTCACAGGGCGCATCGTGACCTCATACGTCATGTTTGGTTTTGTATGCTAATGTTATATTCTGACAACGGTGTGATTGTCTCCGCTCAGTCGGCGAAGCGGGCGCTTCAGGAGCTGGTGATCCTGCCCTCGGTCCGCCCAGAGCTGTTCACCGGGCTCAGAGCGCCGGCCCGCGGACTCCTGCTGTTCGGACCGCCAGGTGAGGCTGAATGAAGGGTGACAGCTGTAGTGTAAGGCTAGTCTCAAGTCAGAATGATACTGGGTGCAGTCATTAGGCTTCGGCGGTGCCTTATTAGCTTGAGGTGTCATTTGGACGGGGATCAAGCCTAAAACCAAATGTGATTTGATGTACTCAATCCCATTCGTAAACACAGCAACGGTTATCTTTTATCTAGTCTGTCGACCGATTATAATATTCAGAGGCTACTCCCCACCAGGAAAGCTGGCTCTAAAATTCATTGCTATACCGTACGCTGCCTCAGATGCACGCTCGTAATTCACCCACGCCCCATACCTCCGCCAGGCAACGGCAAGACGATGTTGGCGCGCGCGCTGGCCAGCGAGGCATCCGTCACGTTTTTCTCCATCAGCGCCTCCAGCTTGACGAGCAAGTGGCACGGCGAGGGCGAGAAGCTGGTGCGGGCGCTGTTCGCCGTCGCCAGAGAGCTGCAGGTAGGACCGTGGGGGTCTGTCGGGTCTGGGTGGTCTGTCAGAGCGGGAGGGGGAGAGGCTTGGGAGGGGTGATTTATGTGCGGCCGACTGTAAAGATGGCCAGCAGAGCTAATGTTGGCTTGTTGTGTCCACGGTGAGTGAGATCATGAAATACGTCCAATATAACGCCTTTTGGGGCGACTAGCGGAGCGAGCGAGAGGGTGGGCCTTGCACGTGCGAAATTGCGAGGGGGTACCTCCAACTGACTTGTGAACGGCACCCTACTAACCGGTCTCTAGCGATGTGCCAAATTTGAGCGCAATCGGCCCAGCCGTTCTGGAGATCTGGAAGCGACACCCTGCACGTGCGCACGTGCAAAATGGGTCCCGACTGACTTTCGCACGGCACCCTACTAACCGGTCCCTAACCGCGTACCGAATATGAGCGCAATCGGTCGAGCCGTTCTCGATACTCGTATGTATCTGACAAACCTTACATGATAACGTTTGACACTTTTCACTTTTGCTTTGATCACAGATTGTCTACATAAAAAGTTTTTTTTTGTCTGGGTTGCGCAGACACGCTTACTTGTCTACTTGCGACAGACTATGTATTTCCAAGCACTCTTCCCGCTGCCCGTGACCTGACGTGCCGCCACTGATTCGCTCCCCCGCGTCCCCAGCCGTCCATCATCTTCATGGACGAGCTGGACTCGCTGCTCTCGGAGCGTCGTGAGGGCGAGCACGACGCGTCGCGCCGCCTCAAGACCGAGTTCCTCTGCCAGTTTGATGGACTCGGCACCAACGCAGAGGACAAGATTCTGGTGCTCGGAGCCACCAACAGGTAGATGCGAGAGTCGGTGGCTTGTGCTTACTCGTACTTTAAGTGCGATCTGTGATAGAGAGGTGATTTTAGTGTCGCTGTGTGAATCAGTCATTACTATGTGGCTCTTCGTCGTGTTGGTTTTCTTCGAAACGCATGGCCACACCTCAAGTCTGGAGAATGCCTCCTACGTCTCATCAAATGGCTGACGTGTCCCCTCCTTTCTGACGCCGATTACCCTATCTTCTGCCACAGACCTCAGGAGCTGGACCAGGCCATCCTGCGCCGCTTCCCGAAGCGGATCTACATCCCCCTGCCGGACCGCGAGGCGCGCAAGGCGCTGCTCGGCCGCCTACTATCCAGCCACGGCCAACCGTTGCGGCAGGGCGACCTCCAGACGCTGGCGGAACTCACAGACGGCTACTCGGCCAGCGACATCGCCGCGCTGGCCCGCGACGCCGCGCTGGGGCCCATCCGAGGTGAGAGGGCGTGCGAGAGAGGGAGAGAGGGAGAGATGCGTGCTTTTTCTTCGTCAGATGAGAGTGAGGGATTGAGAGAGGCCAGTGCATCCTTTAGCCATCAGCGGGGAGCAATGGAAGGGAAGCCAGAACTTGTTTTACCCATCAGAGGTGGATGGTCGTGGGCTGGTCTATTAGAAACTAGAGCCAGGTGGTGGAGGGTGGAGCGACGGGACATTGACTGTAACGAGGGCATGGCATTGATGACCTGATCATTTGTTATCATTGTACGCTGTTGCAAGATATCTGTAGACATTCACACAGAACCTTGACTTGTATACTGTATACTGTACCCGTCAAATACTACTCAGTCCCGGGCGGTAACAGTCGCTCCTTTGCGGTCTGATCGGCAGAAATGGATCAGGAGCAGGTCAAGTCCATCGACCCCAAGAAACTACGGCATATCAATGTCAACGACTTCAAGGACTCTCTGAAACGCATCCGACGCTCGGTCGACGCTCAGACGCTAGCGCAGTACGAGAAATTCGAGCGAGAATACGGCGAGCTTCGCGCGTGACATGGTTGTAGAACATCCTCTTCTGACAGCTGTGAAAAGTGCCGTGTTGTTGGCTTGACGAGGATTGATGGGACTCGACCTAATCGAGCAGAGACTGTGATTAGGGAGTCGAGTTGGCTGCTGCATCTGTGAACGCCGTCCGGTCTGCCCGTTCCTTTGAAGAGTTGCGTGGACATGGTTTTGTGATTTTCCGTGAACGGTGGACTGTTATGAATAACAGCCAGAAGATGTGTTGTGGACGGTTTCGTAAATTTTATAAGGGTTTGTCGTTGAGGGAATCGAATGATATGCGCGCCCAGTTTTGATCTAAATATTTGGGGAAGTGTAACAACGCGTCACTGGCTGCTAATGTGTCAGTTGCAAGAGTCGATATAACAGTATGGGTGTGTGAGATTAACTTACATCAGTAGTAATATCAGCTTCCGAAGTCGCTTTCAGCCTTCAGGTAATCAACTTCCGTTAGTCTGTAATTCATCTTCTAGCTGTATGTCGCTCTTCTTTCGGCGGCCGGCGGCCTGTTTCTTGGATGCTCGCCTTATGCTGTTCTCAGCTGTGCATAAGACGCCACATTCATCAAACGAGAGTACTTCCGCCTTCATTGCCCAGCTGTGGGTGTCCAGCTGTGGTGCCTTCAGTGTGGCTTGGAACCGGGCCGTGCCGGTGTCTCTGCCCCCTCCCCTTCTTCACACACCCCTCCTAAGGCCTAACCTACCGCTATTGTATAACCCTGCTTACTACTGTGTCCACTAGAGGTTGATGTGTTGTGATCGGTAGATGTGAGAGATGCTATGAGTGAGCTATGACCCTGCCATCACCAGTGAAATGTAGGGTAAAAAGGGCATAAGCCGGTGTTCTGAAGTCGTCTGTATGATTTGGTTATGTGATCCATGGGACCGCTAGTGGTGACCCCTCGGCTCGCATGTCTGATTTAAAATCTGGTAGGTGTTATATTGGATGTCGTGATCAATTTTCGTTGTGAGATTTAACAGTTGGTGGATGGGGTTAAGTTGCTTATAACAGTTCTCAATTAAAGTAACATAACTACTTACTGCAACTACTGATATTACTGGGGATGCGAGTCAAACTAGTAACCCATCGAAGTCACTAGTAACCATTGTTGATGTCTACATTTGTTCGTGATATCCGAGGCATAATTCACATTG